CCTGAATATATTTATGATCATATGAAAGGCACAAAGTTCATACCATTTGTGTTACTAGGCAACTGAAACAACTTAACGTTTGCAGTGAAGATAATGATGTGAGACTGAAGAACAATTGGATGAGCTTGGATGGCATACTGTGAATAAAAGGGATGGAGTAGCCAGTTTACATTTTGCATTTATAATGGTGTTGTATTGTATAGCCTGAGGGTTTTTAAATTTCTCTGCTAAGGGTCCAAATGTCAAACAGCTGTGAAATGAACAGATGGGGAGACTGTGTAATTTCTGGTTTTCATGAGCAGCTGGGAGTGTGATATACACTTTCACAAAAGGATGAATATGTCAAGTTTATCCCTCATTGTCATGTAATTTTTTTGTGTAATAAGATACATTATGGCAGTTAGAGCAATGCATATGAATCTCCATAGTGTCTTGATTTGTGAAAATATTTTGGTGGATTGATTTCTGCATTGTTAAAAAAAATTTTAGAAGTAAAAAAAAATGTATTGGAAAAAAAAACGTCAAAGATTTACTTGATTGTTGTAGTTTTTTGGCAGTTTACTTTTATTATTACTGTTATTGCACCAACACAGCTTTGCTATTATGGTGTAGGGCTACACTGAAAAATACTTTTATGATTTAGTGACATTTGCAGTCTTCCCAGCATGCACTGGGGCATAAATTAAATAAAGGGGACATAACACACACGGTTTCGGACAATCTCATGTTAATCTTGAGCACCTATAGAGTAGTATTGCATCCTTCATATCGCCGAAGAGTCTTTAGTTTTATCATATTCCTAAAAGAAAGAAATCTTTATGATTCTCTTCGAAAACAGCTGAGCTCCTGGAGGTGTGCCGTGGGCGGAGCAAAAGAATCGCAAGCTTTTAACAACAAAACGAAATTTGATGCAGTTTTACTTACCGCATGAGGTTCCGACTCATGACCGGGATCTTTTATCGCTGGGACTGCTCCATCTTTCAGTATCAAATGATGTGCAAATCTAGCGTCAAACTAGGCCTTTTTTATAAATCATCACAGAAATGACGTCAACAAACAAACACGCATGCAAAACTCCGTTGCTGTCCCAGAAAAACAAACTGCATCCACTGTTCACGTAACGCTGGGTTCTTTGGGAAACTGAAAAGGTTATCTTTCCCTCACAACCAAAAACACACTTCTTTAAAGACATTCTTCTCGAGCAAGTCCTGTGCAGTGCTGCCGACGACTTCCGTAACCCGAATGAAGCACGTTGATGGGCACGCTCTTGATCTTCCGGGAGAAATGCCCATACAAGGAATGCCGTCCTTCATAATGTCATGTAGGGCCATACTCTAAAAAAAACGTACGTTTTTTGAAACTTTGGCCATGTTGAGCATGAGAATCCAACTCTTTAACAGTGTAAATAATGCACAATGCATGAAATAGCGTTAACCCCCCCCCCTTTAATATGGATGGATTTAAGTGTATCTCACTTAATTGATATTTTTATGAGAGTTGTTTGATGACTTTTTGTCACTATGTTCTATCATTTTGTATTAGCATACTGTCCTGGAACATTGTGAAGTTGTAATTCTTTGTGGAAGACCATAACAGACTTTTACTTTTACTAGGGCTTTTAAAGTGAAATTATGAATCTCATAAAGTTAAAGTCAAAAGCCTCTTTAGAGACCATGTTAATCGCATTTAGAAATGCATTAATACTCTATTTAGATTTCAAAGGTTTGCTGCTTTATTTATTTATTTATTTTTATTTAGTACTGGCAGCTGTTGGTTAAATGCCTCAGTAAAGGACATTTGTGCACCATTTTGGCAAGTGGCTGCAGTTTTTCTCTCTCTCTTTTTTTATTAGCTGACTTGTTTAGTTGTCTAATGGGAATGAGTTGAGTAATGGAATAAAACAAGAGTTTTAACCCTGCAGTTCTGCTTCGGCAACATCAGTTAATCTATTAGCAGTAAGCAGCGTCTAGTGACTCACAATAAGTTGAGCAGCCTCAGTCTGTGTTTTCTGTCCTCTTTAGATTGAGAGCTGAAGAGCTGAGATCAACATGGGGCAGCTGCTGTCATGAATCAAGCTCTATTCATTAACACCAAACTAATCAATTAGATTAGACAGACTTTGGGTTGTTCAATAAGCAGTCTGCACAAGATATCAGAGAAACATGTCCTCTTCCCCTCTGTGCTACAGAAATCTGCAGTCTTTGAACCTCTTTGAAAGTGTATTCCATATATATATACACAGGATAACATTTCCTATTACTGGTGAGATTATGTATAGTTATTCCCACCTAAAAAAGAAACTCTTTCAAGCTGTTCAAAGCTTATTGATGGTAGAGATTCATGCATCACAGGGTCATTGCTACCTACTTTTTTTCTGAAAATAACCCAATATTTATGGTGATTTTTTTGAATATCAAATTTTTATATGTTTGGTTATATGAACTGTCATGTAATTGATACCTACTTTAAAAACAACATAAAAATTTAAAGTAATGATGTTTCTGTGATGTCAATGCTGATTTTGGAGCAAAATCATTGGAGTGAATTTAAACATGGTAAAATGTGTTAAATGGAGTTGATATTTTTATTAGTGGTTGTAGGGACTTAACTGTAATTTAAGTCGTTAATTCTATAAGGGAATTAATCATTAATTTTATTTCTAGCTCAGGTTTTGAAATGACTCGGATCTGAAAATTCTAAGTCCAC